AATGTGAGAGATGATAAATTTGTTTGCATTTTTCACTCGCGATAAAAGAATGCAAAAATGGACTTGGAATATTATCGATCGCGAACGTGAGAGAATGTGAGTGAGAATTTCCGAACCCTGACCATAAGTAATTGTCAGCAGCTTGTACGCAGCGAGCTCCTCCTCAGGCGAACACCTCTACAATATTGCTTGATAATTTGTATCGTCACTAGCAACCCATGCCTGCCTAAACATTTTGTTCACATCTGCCGTAAGCGCAAATTTGTAGCAGCGAAAACGCAAAACAATTGACATTAAGTCGTCTTGAATGACAGGCCCTTTCATCATCGTGTCGTTGAGAGACAATCCAGTGCTCGTTCTTGCGCTGCAATCAAACAACCCGCGAAGCTTTGTACTCGTGGAATCTGGTCGTAGTACTCATTGATGAGGAGCAAAATACTTAAGCTTGTCTTTATCAGCTGCTCCAACCTTTACCATATGCGCAGTTCTTATGTACTCATCAAGAAATTCTATGTACGCTAGCTTTGTTACGACATCTTTGCTCAGTCATCGTTCTAAGGCCGAAAACATAGTGGAGCGGCGAGCAAAGAACATCGAGCAAAGCGTCGATTTCAAACGCGTATGTTTCAATGGGAGAGCGCATAGTGAAGAGCAAAGCGTACATACACTTTTTAATTGTAGCTTTGCTCTATGATACGTCTTCGCTTTGCTCGCAGCTCCACTATGTTTTGACCCTAAGGCTAAAAAAACGTCGCTCAGTTGTTCGAAAGGAGTCACCCAATCTAGTAACATTCTCCTTAAATGGGATTTTAACTATAAATCTACCGTCGCTGTCTCTTTTCACCGATTGCTGAAATAAGCGCTCGCATTCTGTTTCTTCTTCAGTAAAAAATTTATTTTTTATTGGCACATTTTCTACTTCCCAAAAGCGTTCAACTAACATATTTAGGTGATCATACTTCTCTCTTGTTTCTATTGCAAAACTTTCCGCGATAATGTTTACTGCTTTCTTGATCAATGGTGCTGCCCGATACCACCCACCCAAACACCGTTTTCTGCAACCTTGGCAGTCCAGTTCCAATCTTGATTTGCCCAATTGAAAGCAATTCTAAAACCACTTCGGCACCCAACAATACGTCAACGCGTGTCTGCCATTTCAATATTACTTGGAATTTTCCATTTAGAGACATCGATGTATCGGTTTGGTTTTCGCCCAGTTATTTTTTGTAAGATATGAAAATTTATTGACGTCTCATAACCATTTAGACGCGACTTGATTGTTGCTTGCACCCGCTTGGATGCAGTTGTTGACATGCCGTCTATACCGCTCACCTCTAAAGCACTTGACACCCTTGGAAGCCTTAGCATTTGAGCTAAATAATCACACACTAGATGTACTTGTGAGGCCGAATATGGCCCGCGCCTGATGATAATTGCCACTAGCATCCTTTTGTAAAATCACTACCGTTTCTAACAAAACCTGTTTTGCCGTGGAAGTTTTCCAACTTGTGCACAATGCACTACTTTCGCTTGCGCCCGCTACGTGCTGTTCTTTTGCGTTCGCCCCGCTGCTACCAGTGGCCACGTCTACTTGCCTATGCAATAAATCGTGATGCGGTTGATTACATACAGAATATTTAGCTGCTAAACATTGCTTAAACCAGTGGCCTTTCTTCAAACATACAATGCAAAGCCTAGCGCCCCGCACCACCGAATATCGCTCGCTTGGAGTCATACGCGTAAATTTGGGGCAATTCAATACATTGTGGTCGTCTTTGCGGCACACCCCACAATTTACACGCTCTACTGCCAGTGATGCTGTCCTTCGCGATTTCATGTGTTTCGATTTAAAATCCTTGCTGATTTCTTTCGTGACATTGTGTCTAACCTCCATGCGATCTGTTTTGACTTCTCGAGCCTCCAACGTTTGACATCTTCTAGCTAACACTGCCGAGCACTCTACGCACGACGCTAGTTTCGTATAATCTTCTTCCGCTTCTTCCCACTTTGCTTGGGACTCGGAATCTAACTTTTCCATTACAAGAAAAATTATAAGAGCATTTGCAATATTTTCATACGTTCCCAGAGACAGCATAGCATTTAAACGAGCATTTGTTGTATCAATAACCTTTCGAAGGTGTTCTGCAGAGGCTTTTGCAGCTCTTAGTAATTCGAATAGTGCACTAATATGCTCCTCAAATATCAGGTTTTTCTTGTCAAAACAGTCTTTTAATCGCTGCAACGCTTTGGGGTAATTTTTCTCCGTTTCATCGAAGTCTGCAATAGCTGCCAGTGGTCGTGCACCTAAACTCTCCTTTAAGATGAGAAACCGTTCACAATCATCCAAGCTTTCACCATGGTGTACCATTTTCGTGAACAGAGCTATAAATTTTGGAAACTCCGCATATTTGCCGTCGAATTTCGGTAACTTAATTTCTCGTCGCAAGCGTGGTGTTGCTGTTACCATTGTGGTGTTGTTTGACAAACTGATGTCTGCCACTGAAGAACGACGTTTGCCTAACAATGCCATTACGTTGGATTTTGCGCTTACAAACAGCTCCTCTACTTCGCCTGCAAACGCGGCATTAGCCGACATATCGGATTCTGGACTAATTTTGTCAATATTCGCCTGTACTGCTAAAATCTGCTTAAAATAGGACTCCAGAATGCCTAACCTGCATTTTAGTTCTTCTGAAGCTAAGTTAGAGCCCTTTTTCGCTATAACATTTTTTATTCTGGTTATGCTGCCTTTCGTCGATGCTCGCAGCGCTTTTAGCTCTAGCAGCTTCTCATTACCTTTTGACGACGCTGTTGACCACTTGTCAACTGCTTCAATCTCATCTTCGTTAGAGCTGATGATTACCTTCACACGAAGACTTTATCTATACGGAAAGCCTTTAAGCTGAAGCACAACACCGGCGAACGGCAAATTTTTCGTCGCGAATGTTCGCCGAAATAATTAAAACACACTGATTTATATGAGAACGCGCACAACCAAAGCAAACGACGAAGTTTGCTCGACGACTGTT